CTTTATGAAGTCGTACGAATCTCATAATAGAAAATAGGAGAAGTTTCAAGCGTATAAAAATATAAATACGTCTTCCGTTACTTACCACGATACAGTGTTTTCATGGAATCGGAGGAAAAGTTGAACTTTTATTTTAAAGCATTTAACAAAACTTATTATTATACTTGTATATTTCTAATCAATAGAAAAGTTAATTTTGATTAATGGAAGCTTTTTAGTTTTTTCGGAAATTTTTTAGTTGTACCGATGTGTATTATCATCGATATATTAAATCATTTCGATGTATCAAATCTGTGTGATTTGACAAATGCAAAAAAACCAACGCAACACAGGCAAGAGAAAAAAGCGGTACGTGTATCGTGTTACGTTATAAGAGATTAATAATTGTGATCATTGTTAACACATTTGTTTCTTTTTTCTGTAACTCGCGTATTTTACTTGATTTGTTGTCGGTATTTAGCTTTAAACGTGATACAAATATAAAGAGATGTTATCATTTAAAGGCATGTTTTCATTAAGATTATAATTTCTATATTCCGTATATTATGCTATACTTTCTTTCTCTATCTCTCTATCTCTTTCTTCCGATGCGATTCTTAAAAAATAATATCGAAATGTTGACTGTATCGGGTGTGGTTGGTGCTAAAAATTTTCTGAATTAGCGAAAGGAATGTGTGCCAATCTATATCTTTCAATCACGAAATTCTACGCGATGAAAGTTTCACTTCTTCCCTGTTACGAATTTAAAAATTCTTAGTGATATTTGAAAAGAAAAAAAAAAAAAAAAATGGAGAATAATATAGGAAAAAGAATAATATAGGAGGAAGATATTAAGTTCTTCGGATGGTACAGGTGCACTGGGATTTGTAATAGAATATCGAAAACTGCGTTACATTTATATTTCAAGCTTACAAACATCAACAACATAGTTTTTCCACTTTTATCTTTTAAAATTGTAACTTCTCCTTATTGTTGCTTTCGTTTCTCTAAGCATACAGAATTATTACCACAAGTCTTCACTATTTTCTAATTATATATCCACTTGTGTCCTGAGATGCGACTGCGAATTATCAACGCCTTTCTTGTTTCTCGTCTTCTGTAAATATAAAGGGATCTTTAAACGATTCACTTCGCACGACGAGAATTTATCAGTTTCATCGCTGGAACAACGATCTTTACACACGCTTCCTTTTTATATTTTCACTTTGATCATGAAAAATCATATAAATCATATAAAAATCATATAAATATATTCACGCGGATGCCACTAGATAAATAATTATATATATATATATATATATATTTCTCTATAAAACGAAGCTATACAAACTATTTTGCCGTTTTATATTGTATTCTGCATAGATATATATACATATACATACAATCATGTGTATATGTATATGTATAAAAAGAAAAGAATATTCTGTACAACGATACACAGCGATTCACAGTATAAAACGACTACGTGTTACGCCCAGGACACAAGCCGTCTCTAATTATTCTATAGATTAATAACAATGATATCCTGTATCCGAACATTACGTTTATAATAATATGTATCACATATAGGTATTTCATGTTCATTATATCAACAATAGGGGAGTTGAATTAAAAAAAAGGCTACCGTTCACTTATTAGAAATTTATTTTCAACTTCTCTCTCTCTCTCTCTCTCTCTCTCTCTCTTTCTTTCTCTCTCTGTCTCTTATTTGCTTCTGATTTAATATAATGATCTTATGCGTGTGTATTATTTATGTTTGAAAAAAAAGAGATTATTTTTTAAATCCTTTTTCATTTTTCTTAAACAATGTAATATTTTTTTTATCTTTTTTCAGGGCGATTAACAAAAAGACCTCGTGGTGATACAATATTTATACGCAATTCTTTTATATATTATTTTTTGTTATTTTCTTTAAGCATTTTCTGAAGTTCTCTTTTAACCCTTTCATTCTCATAATAGTTTTAATAAATATTTAATCTAGTCAAAAGTTATAGATAGATTTTTCTTTATTTTTTTAAACAATCTCTATTCTGTTTCTAAATATTAAAATGTATGAATTGTTTCTTTGTTTAATAGACATAATCAAATTTTTGGCTATTATTTAGGAATGAAAGAATTAAAGAGAAAGAAATATCAAACATTCACGTATGTCATTAAAGATTTAAGCGAAATTATTCGTTTAAACCATGAATGAAATTTATTAGATAACAAGACCCGCATATTTAATATATGTATTTATGTATCTTTGATATATAACACGTACAGAAATTATGTACAACGTTTTCTCAGGTTCCAAGAGGAAACATAAAATAACATCGCGTAAAACGCGTAATTTTGAACTATATTGTAATGATTCTTAATATCATGTTAATCAACATGAGTATCAAATCGTCTTAACAAATTTACATAATTTCTATTTATCTCTTTTATCTCTGTTTGTTAATAATATTCATTATGCGTAAAATGAAATAATGCTTTCTTTTTATTTCATTTTCGCATATTTTCCAGAGCTTCCTGTGATTTGTAATTTGTTGTAATTAAAAAAGAAAAAAGGAAAAAAATAGGAAAATATATTAATTTTCTATTCAAATAGGAAAGAGCTCATAACGATGCAGAATCAAATGAAATAAATGATTTTCAAACAGATACACACGGAAGTTCTGTTCAAACTTTCCCTTATTTCTCTCACTCTTTCTCAATCTTTTTTCCCCTCATCTAAAATCTCGGGACACGTTTTACAGCCCTTTTAATTGAACTCTCTAATATTATTGATAACAACTTAATCATATGTACATATATAGTTAGACATCTGCCGTCGTAAGCGCAATAAAGACGTCTAAAGAACGCTCGTGAAAATTAAACGGCACATTTAAAAACCGATCCATCTTTCTTCTCTTATTTTCACTTATTGTTATTTTTTTTATCATTTTCTTTTTTCTTTTTTTTTTTCTCTTTTAATCGCTGGTACCAAAAAACACGCGTTCAATATATATTTATACATATGTATATATATTAATTACCTCTTTTTTTTTTCTCCATTTAATTATTGTAAGCTTTGAGCTTGGGCCTGACTGCCCACACGTGTTAAAACTTACTATATTATACACAGACGAAAACAATATTACATATCATAGCAAAACGCTTTCACAGAATACGTGCTCACGGTCCTTGGAATCATAATGATTCGCATCTTCATTTTTAGAGGGATGATAGAGTCAGAGAAAATCCTATTCTGATTACACAGTGATGATTGATCACTGTTATTCGTTCTTTCGATTCGATCCTTATTGAGAATCACATATCACGTTGGTATCGAAACTTGTTCGAAAAAAAATCGGCACGATCCTCTTTCGAGTTTTTTGACTAGAATCGAGAGCAATCTTTAATCGTCTTATTAGTCTTCGACTTGACGCTTGTTCGCACTAATCCTTTAGGAAAATGAATTCTTGAATGAATTCTGTTTCCTTTATTCGATATGCAACATGATGCAAATTGATGTTAGAATTAAGAAGATGAAGATAAAAAATAAGAAGAGTCAAAGAGAAGAAGAACGAAGACCGTGAGCACGTGTCACGAATCGTTACACGTTTTCTCTTTCTTAAGTTTCTAAGGAGGTTAAAAACCTCGTTTTACAAAGCTTATCGATTACATAACTTCGACGAAACATCAGCTAAGGAAAAGAAAAACGCAAGCGTTTATTGGCGAATGAATAAAATAACGATAAAAAGAAAAAAGGAAGAAGCGAAGTGAAATGAAGAGGAAAAAGGATCGAGGAACATTACGACATATAAAATCGTTTACAAGTTATCATGGATTGAAAGAAATA